TGGAATCCGCTACAACTACAATCTGTCTTTTTGCTCCCTCCTCTTGAATGGCCTCCTGGACCATGATGCCACTGTCAGTTGACTCATCCTTCCTGCAGCCCTGTTCCTCATCCACGCAGGGAGCAAGTGCCTCATACCTGTGGGACAATGTCAAAGGCTGCGGCTCCTGTGTTCCTGTCTGCAGGGTCACTCTACCTGCCTCACTCGCAGTCACACACTACTGACCCTGCCCGTCCATCAAATTAACATTAGTTAATCTACCAGGTGTGACTGCTTCCTGGAACACAGCATCCAGGTATTTCTCCCCGTCCCGGATGTGCCACAGTGTTTGGAGTTCGGATTCCAGCTCATCAACTTTGAGCCGGAGCTCCTCAAGCAGCCAACACTTGCTGCAGATGTGGTCACTGCCGTCCTCAAAGGGATCAGTAGCTCCCACATCATACAGCAACAATACATCACCTGGCCTGCCATCTCTACTTAGTTAATTATTTTTAATTAATTAGTTTTTTTTTCAGTTTCGCAGTGTTCTCTGCACCAGTAAGTTTACTCCGTTATATACTCAAACAGACTCCTGCTTTGCCTTCCGACCCGCTCCCAGAGGATTTGGCGTCGAGATGACCACCCTGAAAGATAACAAAGAAATGAGAAAAAAAATGCAAACAGCTTACCTGCTCACCACACTTAGTCTTTATTATTAGGTTAGAGGTGGTGGAAGGGTGGGAGATACTACGTGTGTAGTGTCTTGGGTATTAGTTTACTGGGTGGAAGCTTACCTTCCCAGGCTGCCCTCGCGCTTCCTCCCGAACTCCCGCCGCTGAAACAACTGGAAAGCCCCTCTTGCATTGAAATAAATGCAGTTTAACTCATCAGTCCGACCTCATTCTCCACTTTGTTCCTGCCTGCCCTGTCAGTTTGACTTATTCCATTTCCCAGCTGTACCAGTCTCATACTGATCACTTTCGTCAATATCTCCCTGGGTCCCACCCCGCCCCCGTACTACTTTAAATCCTCCAGAGCAGATCCAGCAAATCTCCCCACCAGTATAGCAGTCCCCTTCCAATTCAGGTGCAATCCACTCTTCTTATAGAGGGCTTGAAACGTAAGCTTGCTTTCTCTCTGTGGATGCTGCCTTGACCCGCTGTGATCTTTTTGTTTTTAATTCCAACTTCTCCTAAGATGCCTATTTTTACCACTGTTGAACTGATCTTCATTAAAACAGTGTGAGGATCCCAGCAATCAATTGTGGCCTGTGCTGTCCTCATGAAGTTCAGAGGTGAAAGCAGGCCTTTCATGAGAGGATGACAATGGAGCCTTTGTCTTCCCACTTCCATCCTCTCTGTATGTCATGTTTGTGGGCCTATAGCTTTGAGCCCTCTAATTCGTCTCTGCTTTATCGAACAGGAGTGATCTTACCTGCACGATTTACTGAAGGTTTGAGATCATACTCTCCCATCTTTCTGGCTGGTTGACTGTCTTCTGCGTGGTGATGGATGAGACAGGAGTTTGGAATTCTGTTGAGTCAGGAGCTCCCTAAGTAGCTACAGGAGACACAGAAATAGACAGAGTCAGAAATTAAACTGATGTCGTAAGGTTTACACATATAGAATGGTACTGAGTCTCACAGAGATCTGGAAAATGTCATGTCATGTCATCTCACTGCTCTTCTCTCTTGAGTGGAGAATTCCATTGGCTTAGGATCTCAGAGTAGCTGCAACAGAAAGTGTAGACAGAGGCAGCGATTACACCCACACAGTGAGGGATACCACATGCAGATACTGAGCGATATCACCAGACAGCAGGAAGATTTGGAATCAAACAACACTGTAGGAAGAAGCTGTTTTGAATCATGGAACACTATTATCAGTACTCAGGAAAAGTGATCTCTCTCATTCTGATGGATTCCAGGAGAACTGTGCTGAGACCAGTGTCCTGGCCAATCATATGAATTGGATTATAGACACAGGGTTTAAACTGAAAGAGGTGAGGCAGGAGCAGGGTTCAGATGAAAGGATATTTCAAAATACAAACAGAAAGGTCAACAGAAATAACAGTGTGGAGCTGGGACGCTTCTTCAGAACAGTTGACCTGAAATATCAACTTTCCTGCTCCCCCGATGCTGCGTGGCCTGCTGTGTTCCTCCACTCCACACTGTGTTACCTCTGACTCCAGCATCTGCAGTTCTTACTGTCTCTCAGAAAGGTTGAAACCTTGTGAACAAAGGATAATGTGGCTGAGGTCAATCAAAAAAGAACAGGAAGAGACAGAGTTTAACTAAAATTGTACATCAATGAGTTACTTTGTGACAGCAAATAGTCATAAAAATCTAAATCATAGTTTCTTCATTTGAATGCACAAAGTATCTGCAATAAGGCAGATAGACATGTGACATACGGAAGTGAATGACTTTGATGTAATCACCGGAGAGGCTTGGTGAGCACGAAAAATAAGGTGGGACAATAAATATTACAGAGTAGTCAGTTTTGCTGAGAAACAGGCAGAATGGGAATGCAGGAGGGAGGAACCTGTCAGTTAGAGATAACAAAAGCAAGACTGATAAAATATTTACCCTCAGGTTATGTAATGCAGTCAGGAGGAAAGCAATTTGGAAGGAATGTGTGCCAGGAAATGGAAGTGGAAGAACAGTTTTTAGCTTGTCGAAGAGCATTGTATCGTTAGACAGTGCATTAAACATGAACTTATTGTAATTTGTTAAAAGACAAGGTGATAACTGAGAGGAACTTCAATCTTCATATAGTCTGGTTCAATCACATTGGTAAGAGTGATCTCGAAGAGGAGTTTGGAGAATGTTTTTGTCGATGTTTCTTGGAACAACAACAACAACATTGTGCAACTGACCTGGGATGTACCTGTTTCAGAACAAACATTGCATCATGAAGCTGAGTAAATGAGTAATGTCACAGTAAGAGATCCTCCGGGAAATTGTGATAAGATGGAATTCAAAGGGATGATGGACTTTTAAAGTGAGCCCCATAAAGTACAAACAATAATGGAGAAACAGAAGCAGAGGCCCATGAGTTGAGTATGAGAGGAGCACTGACCGAGATAAACAGGGGAAACAGAGTGAAATGTCTGGCTGTAAATGAACACCGCGAACCATCAGCAGGAACCGGGTAAAATATTCAACAAAAAGGACATTCTTTGGCTCTGGGCACTCTCACCATCTGTTCCCCTCGCTCTTCCTTCCCCCCTCGGTGGACAACACAAAAACTGGCATTTTCCAGCGTCTTCCAGTCCTGAACAAGAGTTAGATCAGACTCTTCTATGATGTTGCTTGGCCTGCTGTGTTCATCCAGCTCTGCACCTTGTTGTTTCGGATTCTCCAGCATCTGCAGTTCCTACTGTCTCTGGACATTAACTGTTTGTCTCTCCACACAACTTTCCTGAGCCGCTCACTTCCTGCAGCGTACCCCGTTTGGACTACATTACCCATGCTGCCTTTGGGGTTGGGTGGTCAGGCGCCTGAGTACTATGGGCCGCCGCCATGGCGTAGATGCGACGATCGATCCGCGGCGCCTGATGGGAGTTGTAGTTCTGACGGGCGCAAACGCTCTCCGAGGCGGTTGACGGCCAACGGACGGGAGTTGGAATGTGAGCGCGTGGAAGCCCGCACCGCGAGAGGCGGTCACGGGGTGCGGCTGGAATTAGGGGAGCGCACCTGTAAATTCATGGAGGGAAAGAAAACAATTACCACTTCTCGGGAACAAAGTGTCCTGTAAGAGTAAAGCATTTAAAGGCATCAGCATAAACAAAGACAAAGAAAAATCAAAATAGTGGCGATGATGGAGATCTGAATTAAACACAAAGTGAAGCTCAGCTGGTCTGGCACCATCTGTGGACATACTGGTCCAGAATTACAAAGGATCCAGCTCTATTCTCTGGTGACAGGGGTTTGGATCTGTGCAGGTCACCTGCTGCAATTGAATGTCATTTTGTCAATGCCATGAAGGAAAAAGCTAGTCCCAGTAATGGGAACTATCTAACAATCATTGAGAAGCAGAACAACTGAGCAGTTTCATTCATGTCCTTTAAGGAGGAACATTGCCATCCTCACCTGGTCTGGCCGACATGACACTCCAGCCCAACAGTGATTTGGTCAACACTTCAGGATGACGTGAAAAAAAATTCCTTCTGTCTTCATACGAGTGGAAACAAAACGATATCCAGAAATAGCACTAAACCAGGAGAATGTCATACATGTACCAGAGGAAGTGCAGGAGATGTTCAGACATTTTATCTCTTATTGTACGTTTGTGGCAAGTGGGTGTGACTGGCTGGGCCAGTATTTTATTGTCCGTCCCTAGTTGCCCTCAGGGAAGTGCTGGTGAGCTGCCACCTTGAACTGCTGCAGTTCATCTGCTATAGGTTGACCTACACTGCTGCTGGGGAAGGAAGTCCAGGATATTGACTCAATGGCACTGAAGGAACAGTGATATGTTTCCAATTCAGAATAGTGAGTGGCTTGGAGGTTAACTTGCAGGGAGGATTGTGCTCCCATGGATCTGGAGCTGTGGTGAATTTCTGCAATAGGTGCAGTAGATAGTACACACTGCTGTGACTGAGCATCGGCGGTGGAGGGATTTGGATATTTGTAGATGTGGTGGCAATCAAGAAACTGCTTTGTCCTGGATAGTGTCAAGCTTCTTGAGTGTTGTTGGTGCTGCACTCATCCAGGCAAGTGGGGAGTATTCCATTACACTCGTGATTTGTGACTTGTAGATGGTGGACAGGCGTTGGGCAGTCAGGAGTTGAGTTAAGTGACTCAGTATTCCTAACTTTTGACCTATTTTTGTTGCCACTGTATTTATATGGCAAGTCCAGTTCAGTTTCTAGTTAATAGTAATCCTAGGATGTTGACAGTAGAGGATTGAGTGACCATAACAAATATCAAAGGGCAGTAGTTAGATTCCATCTTATTGGAGATGTTCATTGCCTGGCATCTGTCCGACACAAATGTTACTTGCCACTGTTCAGCAGAAGCCTGAACATTGCCCAGGTCTTGTTGCTTTTTATATGGACTGTTTCAGTGTCTGAGAAGTTGTGACCGAAGCTGAATATTGCATTATCATCGGTGATCATCCCCATTTCTGACCTTATTGTCAAAGGAAGATCGTTAACAAAGTTGCTAAAGATAGTTGGGCCTAGTACAATGACCGGGGGTAACTTGGGCTCTTGTGGTACAATGGTAGTGTCTCTACCTCTGATGTAGAAGACTTGTATTCAAGTCGCACGTGCTGCAGGGGTGCATCATAACATCTCTGAACATGTTGATTAAAAATACGTATCCTGAGCAGCACCTGCAGGAATGTGCTGGAGGTGAGATGACTGACCACTAATAACCACAACCATCTTCCAATGTGCATCGTCCTCCCTACCTTGGGGTGAATAAGAGTGAAAACAAGTCTGACTAAAATGCATCAATTCTCAAAGGGCTTACACGACATTACTTAAGAACTGGTTTCTCAAATCCCTGAAACCATTCTAATCAATGTCTTCTGTCGCATCATCAGGGTCTTAACATCTTTCCTCATAGACCAGCATATATTTAAAACTCCCCAGAATGAGCTGTAATCAGTATTTTATACAATTGTGTTGTTAATTCCTTGTTTTTGAACTGTTTCCTAAATGATATTTCATGTTTTGTTCAAACAACGAGTGAAGGAAATCTGGTTTGCTGAATTTGTCTTTGCCAAGAGTATGTTTATGGGATGCTGCTGCATTGGAACAGTTGCTGATTAGCAGTTAAATCACATATTGTTTTGCTAATTCTTCTTTTTTGTTTGTATTTTAACTGCAGTATAAGAATAAAGCGTGCTTTGCTTAAAGCCCAGTAGTTTGACCAATCAAATCGTATCTGGAACACAGTACCTTACACTTGCCTTTAAATAAGATAAAAATTAGATTTCAGACAATCTCCTTGAACTGTTTTGAGGGGGTTTGATCTGATCCATAACAAACGACTTCAACTTGTCCCAACATTTCCCAAGACATATACACAAACATTGCTAGATCTTCCTGATCCTGCATTCAGTTTGATACGGTGTCATTTACTTTCAGTTCAATCATCAAACTTCCTGATTGAAAAAGCCTACAATATATAGAGCACACTGAGACACTTTAGCTGCTCACCTCAGACTCAATAATCAACACTCAGTTCCCGGGAGTTGGAAACTTGTTCCTGCTTCTGCAAAATGAAAATTGAACAAATGGCTCAGAAAATGATAACAGAATCTGAGCTCAGTCTTTCTTGATCTGAAAAATACAGGCAATAATTTACAATCAGGATTGCTGGAGCATTTCCAGTTCACTGTTTTAGACACACACTCAGATAAACTCACCATGTCATCTTTGTACTTCTGTCTTAAAGTGATTCCAATTTCTGAGAGAGAAATGAAGGTAACATTTCAGGCCTATTCTGTTCCAGCAGAACGGAGAAATATTCAGAATCTAACAGGCTTTGCACAAGTTAAAAGGAAGGTGAGTGGGTGGAGGAGGGTGGGGCAGAAAATGGGACTTATTCCACATATAAGCCTGACCTTGAAACAACTCTGGGGAATAAATCATAAAGCAGGACTCACAATCCTTCTTTGCTGAAATCTGTGTCCAAATAAACAGGTTCTCAATAATCTCCTTTGGAGCAATCACCACCCAAATGATAAAGAATAATTTGTTAATGCGGGCAGCATGCAATTTGTAAATGCTCTCAACAGATCATGTCACAGGGTATTCATATCAGACAGGGCAAGGTTATTCTAACAGTCACTGTCACCATTTCAATTTTGTGAATTTACAGAAAACCGTCACAATGGGTATTGTCAGGGGATAATGCATGGGGCAGCACCAGTGATTGGAGAAGTTAAACTGCTGGGCACTGCCTAGCTCTAGTACAATAACTGAGTGGCTAAGCCATTGCTCTGGAAATGCCAAGGGGTTTCCCTGGTCAGCTGCGACTCTGACTTACCTGTCCATCCTCCAAGCCTCAGAGAAAATTGTTACCACATTGGATTTTATCTGCTTCCTCTCAATTGGAGAATGTTGGACATTTCACAAATGGTTTTGTGGATGTTCAGAAACTGGGATGGAGACCGAGGTTACTTCCCTGGTGAAGCAGCTGAGTCTGGATCTGCCAAAGCGACTGTTTAAAGAGACGCAATGGGAAACAATTGTTCCCCAGCCCTTTGTGAACCTGCAGCTGATTATCCAACCAGAGACTGTGAGGAAAGCTCCTGCCTTGTAAAATCAGTCTGTCTATGCACAGGGGAGAGACAAGAAGGAGTCACTAGAAAAGGACTTTTTTTTAAAATCAGCAGCACAGATAGAGCAAATGTACAGCGCCTAAGAAAGTACAGTCTGAGGGATTGTGCAGGAACGTCAAGAGAAGTCAAGATAAAACAGTTTTTTTTTAAAAGTAGAGAAATAATTAAATTCCCACCTGAAAAATGAACAGAACTTATCATTCTGCTTTCTACTGAACTGCTCACTTCCCTGAATCACAAGCTGAATGCATGAGGTGTGCTGCTGGGACACTCTCCTCTGAGGGAGAAGGTTCAAACTCCCTGGAAGCATGCGGCCTGAACCTTCCTGTGTTATATCATACCACAGGCTGCACAAAATAAACCATACGTCGTTCCCTGGGTTGGGAGTTTGTGAAACAACCAGCTGGAGTTTAGAGGGTCATGAGATTTTAGGGAATAGAAAGCAAGGTTTAGGCTATTCGACCCCTCATCCTGGCACTGCCATTCCATGGGATCATGGCTGACCTCATTGAAGCCTTAACTTCACCTTCCTGAAAGCCCCCATAACCACTGACTCCATGGTCTATCAATAAAACTGTCAAATTCATGCAAGAATACCATCAATGACCCAGTCTTCCCTGCTGTCTTGGGAAGGGAATTCCCACAGACCAATGACCCTGCCAGGGAAGGAATTCCCCACTTCCCTGCCTTTGATAGGAGACTCCTTTCTCTGAAGCTGTGCCCCCTGGTGCTGTGTTCTCCCACCCCGAGTAGAAACAGCCTCTTAATATCACCCCATTCTCATCCTTTCAGAATCCTGGTACGTCCAATAAGGGCACCTCTAAATCTCCAACTCTCCAATAAAAATACAGTTGAAACGTGCTGGACCCATCCCCACAAGGGATTCCCCCTCTCCCTCTTCCCCACCCCAGGACTGCACCCAAAGAAACCTCTTCAAGCTGATACAGTGCAAGAGGAGGCCTCCCAAAGCAGAAACCAAACCTGTACTCAGCTCTAGAGATAGTAGGAACTGCAGATGCTGGAGAAACTGAGATAACAAGGTGTAGAGCTGTATGAACACAGTAGGCCAACCAGCATCAGAGGAGCAGGAAAGCTGACATTTCGAGCCTGGACCCTTCTTCAGAAAATCATCTTCATCTTCAGAAATTCATTTTC